AGATATGATTAGGAACTTGGCGTGATTGTAGAAAATTCCGAGTTTCTGACACTTTTTTTGTCATTTCAGAAATGGTTGGAACAGCATTAGTGTCTGTTGTCATGTTTCACCTAAATCGTCATCTTTCTCATTATCGCTTAAAGCTGTAGATGACGTTACGGAATCTATAACTTGCTCATCGGACAACATTTTTCTTGTAAGAATGCCATTATCAATGCTCACATATTCGAAGAAATTGAAATCACTCAATTTGGTTTTAACTTGTTCCGAAGAACAAGACAACATTGGGACATCTTCGTCTGTGTCATACTCGTAGTCAGAGTCTTTATACTTTTCTACCCATTCGTTAAGTGGAATTTCATCGTCTGGTTCATAATAATTTTCTTTTCTTACTCCCCCATGCTTAAAGCAATTTGCAATGGTTTTCAGACTAACTTTTTGCCAAGCTCTATGAATGAAATTGACTGCATATAAGAGATTTATAGAAACTGTTTCATTTTTATCGATCGCCTCTAACGTTTTCATAAGAGGAATTTTTCACCAGCAGACTCTCCAACAATTTTTCCGCTATTGATATTATGCCTCTTCTTGAAACGCTCTTCCCAACTTTTAGAACAAGCAAACTCTTCATTTTTGATTTTACTCCCCATTTCGCTAAGATTTTCTTGAAAAACACTGCCACTTATGGGAACGTTTTCTTGTCTTTTTTGAGTAAACCACTTAATAAGTCCCTTGTCAACCTTTTCATGTGCAGATTATTTTAACTTCCTACATCTAACATTTGTTTTGTCATACGCTGACAAAATGTTTTCTCTGTTTTTCCATATTGTTGCAACAGCAGACTTTCCAAGTGCTAATTCCTTACAAATGTCACTCTGCTTTACTCCACTTTTTATCCTGTTAATAATCTCGCACTTTTCACTTAGTGAAAAAGCTTTACGTTTTTGTTTTTCCATTCTAAAACGATTTACATACATAACGCGGCAAAAAACAACAAGTCACTGTCTGTCTCTCGCTCTCACTAATATAAACAACTCCGCAGGATAGGTGTTGCTGAGCGTGGAAGTTCGTTATAAACGGAAAGTCAATATACAACTAACCTAAAAGTGATCGTTATATCCGGAAGTTCGTTATAACCAGTAAAAAAATACGTTGATCTTTATGGACGACGTTTCAATTAAAGGAAAAAAGTTCGTTTTAACCGAAAGTTCACTATAACCGGGTTCATTATAAGCGGACTTTACTGTAGTTTCAATTTACTGAAAGACGTTTTCGTAACTTCTATAGTCGTTCGCAAGCTTTATTTTTTCTAATGTGACTAAAAACCTCATGCCCTGACGCAGAAAGTAAATCAGGAAAACGTTGGCACCTGAATCATACGACACTGTATCATTCTGCTAAATTTTCCCAGCATTACTCGCAGTAAAATCGACCATCCATTAATTAAAAGTCGACTTAGAAACGAAATTTTCGACTCAGAAACGCTCATTATGCAATGATGAGCAATCATCACGTCTATTGAAATGTGAAATATAGCCACATGTGCATAAAAGCGTCCACTTTTGTCAACTTACTCGCTTCTACGAGTATTAGGAATGAATCAAATGCTGTCTAAAGGTATATTTGCTATTTTTTAGCCATACCATACCGACAGAGTACCCTACGAACATTATCATAAGTAGAAAAACGGCCACAAAGTATTAAAGTTTTCAGACTTAGCTAGTTTAGTTAAGAATGTAGCTTGCCGAGCAATAACGGAATTTTGATAGTGATCAGTTTCATTTTTTTTCCAAAATTTCCAAATAATCATTTCACTGTGAATAATCATTTATCAAAATGTTGAAAATATTGCATATATGACTATCGATAAATTGATATTCCAATTTGATAAAAACGACGTAACTTTGAATCTCTTCTGTATTTGATGCTTTAAACCAAATAAATACAGAATGTGCACGCTGCTGACAAACTAGAATTGGAAGGAGAAACTTTCCATTAATCAAATTAATGAATGTATAATAAATTATCTAAATCCAGGGGATTAGAGCACTCATTACTGAAAACTTAAAATATATATAGATTATGCAGTTGAAGGTAAGAAGTGCCCATCTACGGCATAGGTAATATAAGTATTACCATTAGTACATAGATTTTAGCCATTCATTATACTTATTAGTTATAAAAAATCTACTAGCACTGATCGACGCCTAGCTGGTCGAGGTCTTCCATGAGGATGTGGGTGTGTGATAATGACTTAATTCCAAAACAGGCATGAAAATAATTTTGGGGGCAAAGACAAGATATTGAATGCAAAGTTAAACTAGTTTATGCTGAATTCTAATCGACTCTTTCCCAACTGTGGAAAAAATAGGTGTACAACTTATGCTAAAATAGCAATGGGATATCCAAACTGAACCTGATGTCAGTGTCACCAAAGGCAATTTCCTAATAACACAAAAATACCTTAGCGTTGGGGAATCCGTTGCATCTTTGTAGCAGCACCAGGGCACCACTAAACATAGACATTGTTGATAGTAGAAAGGAATCTTTTGGATGATTATTTTTTTTGTAGTAATGACAACTGTGCGATTTTGGGTCGGTTGTCTGGGTTGCATCGGCTCGAAATGAGATCCTCAAGGGAATAGACAATGTAGGTAAAGCTGGTGTTTGGGTTAATTTATGTAAAATGTAAATGCAACCTAGGGGGCTAATGAACAATGGGGCAACCAACAGGAAATGGGGATGGAGTCAAGTAATCTTACCCTCGATTATCCTTGCAGGCTTCAGATAGGAATATAACTATTTCTGAGCACTAAACGTACGTGTGAAATCTAATCTAACTGGGAAAAGTCAGGGCTCAATCGTCGGCCATATTCTTTTCATTGTTGATGGCACGTTGGGTAGTGAACAGCAGTGCGCAAGAACTCACAACTGTCATATAGCAATATTTGGCGGCATTTAATAATTTATTTTGGATTTCACTTACCCTGGGTTGCGTAAGATATCCAAATTTACTCCAGATCAAATATGCGATGGTGGCGATACAATTCCAAGTTCTAAACGTCGATTCTTGTATGATTCGTTTTGCCAATGGTAATGCGAACATCGATCCAACCTAGTGGTTGGACTCGGGTGTCATTGTCTTTTCAATAAAAGAAAAAAAGATGAAAGAAAATCTCATCACAACTGCACTCAGATTGGCGGTAGGACAATTTTCGCGAATTATCAACAAGAAAACTGATATTTATATTTAGGTTACTCCAAGTTATCAATTAGTTACATTAAAGAAAAGAACCACGCATGAAGGTTTGTTTACAAAGATGGCGATTTTATCGAATTTGTGCTGGCAGTTGGCGTCGATCATGCGCATTCGACTTATCGGCAGCCAATCGGACAATTCCACCAACCTAGTAACGTACAAAAAACTAGGATCTGATAAAGCAGCACTGCCAATGTGTTAGAACAATAGCGCCGCTCACGACGGGCTACCTACCTTTCTCTTACACAATACTTATTGCAGTTTAAAGCGATTAAGTCAAATCTATTATTTTTAAAATTTAGTTGAACTATTGGGCTATTTTTGCTGATGTTTACAAATATTGTTTGAAGAAATACGTAAATTCTCAGTCTTTTTTTGCAATTTAAATTTAGTTTTTATCATAATTGCACTATTTCTTATTACCTACGCACCTTCAGCCTTAGTAGTCTTTTATTCTTATATGGAAGCGGGTAGATTATTCCAATATCATTGGTATTGCCTATTCTCAGCTTAAAATTTTAAGGATGCAGGCCGATGTTGCTCGAGCAAAACCCGAAAAAGTTGGAAAAATCAACACTCTCTAATAAAAACAAACAGAAAATGAATAAGGACAATTAAAAACGCAAAATCACTGCCGTAATTATCTACATTTTTTGCACAAAGTATACTCAATCAGTTACCTTCTGTAAATACAACTTTTCTGAATTTACAACACATACGTAAATACAGAAACATAATTTTATTATGTATTTTAAAATATCCTCATTACCACATTTAAGTATTTCCATTTTTACTTCGTTTAGTGCCTTCAGTTTGGTTCCGTAAAAACTTCAAACCTGCCTCTATTGATGCCGCAATATTTACTGGCCCCGAAGAGTTTCTTGCTGATGAATGTGAGAATGGTCTGTCTGAAGGACCAAAGTGCTCAAACGTTAAAGGAGGAGGAATTTCCACTCCTTTCTTCACGGGCACTGCTTTGCTTGGCATCAATCTGGGCTTCTCCGTTTCATAGACATCGGTCTCCAGTTCATTGACTATGGGAACCGGCTGCATTTTACCACTATGCTGTTCAGCATCACTCGTTGGATATTCCGGGCTGTACAGCCGAGGCCTTGATTGCATGTAATCGCCAAGCAAACGGTCATTTCTTTCAGAATTATCATCATCATCATCATCTTGGATACTGGAGCTTTCTTCTGGATTATTCGGTTTTTCCAATTCGGTTTCGTGTATTATTGTTTTTTTATATGGATTCAAGTTTTGCAACTTCCGTTTGGAATCCATGCTGGAAAACTTCAGAGACTTATTGCTGGAATGAATATCCGTGTCCAGGGATCTCATGCTGTTGAATTCTCGTGCGCTGTACGCGGTTGGCGGAGCAAATTCAGTTGGTCGTTCTTTGCGCTTTTTGTCGTTCCACTCGTGCTGGGTCATTTCATAGAACTCCGGTCGTACGCCGTCTTTTCCTATATCCCAGGGTCGGACGTGGCGTTTCCTGGCTGCATTTAGGCGCCTTTCTTCTTCAGCTTTTTTGTTTTGCTTCTCGATATCCTCGGGTGTTTCAGTTGGTTCTTCAGGTGGAGCATTGGATTCCACATCTATTAAAGACATTTTGTTAGGTTTGTTTCGGTGCATTTTCGTTGGTCAACTTACCTTCCTCTGGTGGCAACCCCATTCTAGCTCTTTTTCTATTGCGAGCCGCTTTCATTCTCGCGGCCAATTGCTGCTCTCGGATTGTTTTCAGATCCTTGGCCCTTTTTTGTTCTTTTTCGGTTTCGACTCTCAGCTTATTCAATGCAGCTTGCTGTTGCGCTCTTTCCTCTTCATCCTTGGAAAAAGCATAATAACCCACACCGTGTTGTCTTGCCTCTGGAAAAACAATTTTTATTGTGATTTAACTTTTACTTAAAACCTTCAGGAAGGTGTTGTTGTTGAACAGCAATTCTTTACTAACTAAATCCGGTGCGGAGAAGAGAAAACTACTTGCCGTTGAACAGAACATTCTGATAATGAATATCAGATTTATCCCTTAGTGCTTCTTCTTCCTTTTCCCACTGCTGTCTCAACATGTGCCTCCTCATATCTCCAGAGATCATTTCGCTTTCTTCGTCTATAGGATCCTTTTCGCAAACCTCTTTATCCTGTCGTTCATTATTGCTTGCTGTTTCCAACTCATCCCTTTTCTCTTCGTCTCGAGAAGGCGCAATTTGCTGTCGTTTTTCCGCTATTTCTCGTAAATCCGCATCTCGGGACTTAAACTCTGCCAAGTCTCTGCGAAGGCATTTTCTTGAGCGTCCAAGAGAATCTGTGTACTCCACCCTGAAGTCAAAAAATAATTACAATTTGCAATAATGACGATAATGACAAGGTAATTAACTACATTAAACACGCATAAATAAATGTTAAAAGCCTCCCACCAATCATCTTCCGGATTCACGTTATCATCTTCGAAATCAGAATAGGCTTCTTCCTCTTCTACAGGTGGTAGATCATCTGGAAGATCATTTGGAGGTACAGGGCCTTGATCAGATGCTAACATGCCTTTAGCACCAAATCTGACCAAATATAATCGGTCATTTTCCTCGTTTGTAGATGAACCTTTTGATAACTTGTCGTACAGTTTGGTTTTTGCTTCTAGTCTCGATCTGAAAGCGTAACGTATGTTGGATTAACCGAAGTGATAAAATAACTCGCAAGGAGTTGGAAAAAATGTATATGTAAAGAAGCTTGAAAGGAAAATGAAAGCAATACTAGCTTGGTGTCTTCAGAATAGTTCATATGACTCTTATTCAATTTAGTCACTAACTTGGACAATCTCAGTAGGTCATGGTCTTCCTCCGTTAAGTCATTGATTTCGCGATTTTCAATTCCCTTGTTCTTTTTCACGGTGTATTTCTTCTTGATAGTCCTAATTTTTCCATCATTTTCGATTTTGGCTCGAGCCACATCTTCTTGCTTTCTTAAAATTTCAGCCTTTAAGCTGAGGAGCTGAAAATAAACGATACAATTGATATTAGAATGACACAATCGGTCTAATTTAAAAATGGAACAAAGCAGGGTAAGAAGATCAGATGAAAATGAAAAACTGATTAAAACGTTAGTGAAGTCGATTTTTATTTTTTTGGCGGAAAAAGCCAAAAGTACCAAAACGCTTACCGATGATTTGCTGATCTCATATGTACTCATTGCTACCTCTACGTTAGGGCCTGTGCTTAATAAAAGCACAGTTTTTACAAAATATGTCTATTATTTGTTCAAAGTAGCTTATTTTATTGGTTAGGTAATCAAATCTTCTTCCTAGCTGTCAGTCGCGGTGTCGCATACAAAGACTAAAATTCGATTTGAATGAGGAGGACATGTTTGACGTTAGCCGACGCTTTGGGCATTTTTTTCTAGATCTTTGGTGTCTTGATATTCCGGATAATAATATATTACTCTTTTTTCCATACGATTTGCTTTTGCGGTGTTCGCTGACAAAGTGCCTGTTTTTTAAATTTCGTGCCAAAGATTAAAAAACCATTCTTGCGTATTTATAATTGGGAAAAATATCCAGACTGCTTACCAATAACTAGAAATCACGTAAATTGGATATTTTTTTAAAATATTGAGTTGTATGAGCCTCCTATATATTGTTTACTCTATCGATTAACGGCGCTGCAATACCGACGCCGAACTGAGGAGCGTCACGGCGCATTTTCTGAACAGTTTGAGACCTGTTGTGTTGTGACGAAGAACGTAAGAAAGTGCCTCTTATGGCCTAACGAAACGAGCAAATAGTGCGGCGAGTTTGGCAAAAACCACAAGGTATTTAACAGGTTTTTCCCAATTTTCATGCTCAGTCCACGCCATAGGTTGGATGTTCTTGAAGAAAAACTCTTGGCGGTTTTGCTTTGTTAGTGGTACAACTTTGCTTCATTGCATTAACTGAGCCAAAAGGAGATTTTTTCTTATATTAGAAAATGGTTTTTGAATGAATGATTATAAGCGATCTTTTAGGGTTTCGTCAAGACTTTCCCATTTTAGGCGTCGCGTACCTTACATTTTAGTCAGGCGGTTTTGTATTTTTTTTTGCATCTAACCGATATGCTTGCAGTTGATTTTAAAGCACATTTTTTTTAATCTAGTGGACTTAAAACCAGCGATCTTGGAAGTCACTTAGAAACCTAAAAAAAATTTCTAATTTTAATTTCTCCGTTTATTTCTTGGTCGAAAATGAATTTAGATTTTTATTACGATTTTTTCCAATGTTATAAAATATCACACTTAAAAATTAGAAATATGAGAACGTGAATCCATTCATGTTTCAACTGCTGATATCTCGAAACCCGTTAGCCTGAGAAGTTCCCACCTAGTATACATTTTTTGCTTAATATTGAAGAGGGAACAAACGAAATCATCCAAAACGTTGGTATACCAGATGAAAAAAGTTAGAGCCAAATGAATGCACACATGCCTTGGGAGAAAGCGCCCTTATTGCAGGGACTAAAATAATAACGAATTTAAATTCGTCATGTTTAAGAATCGCTGTTTTTCAATTTTTATACCGTTAGGTAAATTTGTCGGGAAAATATCACCAAAAACTGAAAATAAGATTAGCAATTCTTCACATAAAAAATTAACGAATTTTTGACTGCAATACTTGTGAAAAAAGTCTTTAGGAGTAGAATATGCAGCTAAAGTGAAATAAAAATTAAAACATTCGCAGAAAGTAAATAAACCACTGAACAAAACATCATACCAGACAAACAACTGAAAATTAAAATTTTTAATTACATAAAACAAAATGTTTCATATATTTCATAACTGGATAACATGTTGTATTAATTTGAAGAAAACAATCCACATTCTCAAAGAAACTCGGATATTTAATTAAACAATTTGGAGAATTTATCCAATCGAATCGGCTGACTGAGCAGGAAATAGCCGCAAGTTCCGCAAGTGATAAGAGCAGAGTATTCCTGACAACAATGTTAAACTTTACCCTTTACAAATGTGTACTTTACCCTTAGGTATTCTCTTGGGATATCTGAAGGACCAGCTCAAGTTTTAAAGGTAATGCGAGCTTAGTTAGGGCTGGGATTTCTGCTTTTCATTACAGTCCTAACGAAAGGAGGAAGTAATTTTCGGGAGACGCAAAGAGTAAAAACAATCGGATTTTCTCGGGGAATTAGTCGAAAGATCCCTAGGGATGCAGGATACAAACTCTGGATTAAGCAGAGTTTTTGCCTGCAGAAATGGTCAAATTTGTAGCAGAGTATCTGCGAAAGCAAGTTGGAATCAAATAAAATATAAATAAATAAAAAAAGTGGTGTGCGTCACGACAGAAGTGATAACTTCATATATTTATAGAAACCATAAAATATTGAACTTGTTTAACGCATGATGGCAATAATTATTTCATTTTATAAATTTAATATTCTCGGTAGTCTAATAATTTATAAATGGATCAGGATTAGGTCAAATTTAATTTAATGTCCTTTTGAATGTAAAAGACCTTTTTTATTGGCAACATTTAACATTCTTTAACGAGATCTTATACATATTGCTCTTCTTGGGTCTGTGTAAACTCTTCTTCTTGAGTTTCTGTATTTTTTTGTCGTAATTTCTTATTTGCTTTGTATAATCTTTGACGTTCAGCACTAGTTCGTGGTTGATGAAAGCTCCTTTGATTTGAGCTATTACTTAATGCTCCTTTTTTAGCACGAAATTGTTTTTGGCGTTCAGCATTACTTAATCCCTTTCGCATTGTAGCATGTTTTTGTGACTGCTCTTGTGTATGTTGTTCATGAACGTCTGCTACAACTTGTATCTGAATAGGACTAAAAAATCAATTAATTTTGGTGACTGGAAGACGTTCTATCTGTTTAAAATAGACGGTAAAACGAGGAAGATAATAATGTTAATGTTAAGACATCGCGCGTATGTTAAAAAAAAAAACATTCTAACTGAACTAATCCAAGGCTAAGAAATTAAACTAAATTGAAAATATTTGATCATAAAGGAATGAAAGGGTATATGAAGGGAAAAAATCAATTTTGATGCGTGGTAAACACAATTAATCATAGAAATAATATAGAGAATTGAAAATAAGCCCTAATAAATTCGTTT